ATTACACAAAAGGAAAGGCTGAAATTGTTTGGACAGCCTCAGTTTTGACATTTAAAACATTGAAAATAATTTGAATGGCGAGATTACTTGGGTTTGAGAAATAAAATTATATTAAATTGAAAAGAACTAGACTTGAAATATGGAAGGTATACAATGAATCGAGGAAGAGAATATGAATTATGGAGGATTGAATGACTTAACTAAGCTAAGGTCCAAATTACTAAATGTTGCACTAAAAAAAAACTATCCATGAGTATGCATCTATAAAACCATGAGACTATGAATCTATGATGAAAGATCTATGCTATGCTATGAGTTCCTGAAACTATACTACTTTGAAAATATTATGAACTCATTGAAAACTATTATAAAACTCATGGAAACTATCTGTTCATGCTACGACATGTGATTCATGGAATCTATCTATCCATGCTACTGCATGTGACTCATGGAATCTATCTATCCATGATGCTAAGTCTATGATGACTTCTAGCTCTATGCTTTATAATATGATGCTAAGCCCATGATGGCTTCTATTCTTACTGTGCAATAGCCTCCAAGCGGCTAATTGAATTGAGAAAACTATCAAATGAAAACTGAAAATGCTACTTTATGCATTATACTATCTTTTGAACGACTTGATGGCATAACAAAGGCACAATTGTAAGTATTGGAGCTTCGGTCTCGAGTAGACTTTCTGTAAGTACTGGATATAGGAATTATTTACCCAATTTCGGATAGCCAATGGGTTAGTCCAGTCCAAGTTGTCCCTAAAAAAGGAGGCATGACCGTTGCGCCTAATGAAAAGAATGAATTAATTCCTACAAGGACTGTCACGGGCTGGCGCATGTGTATCGACTATAGAAAATTAAATGATGCAACTAGAAAAGATCACTTTCCATTGCCATTTGCTGATCAAATGTTGAAAAAACTAGCTGGACATGCATTTTATTGTTTTCTTGATGGATATTCCGACTACAATCAAATAGCGGTGGACCCTATGGATCAAGGAAAGACTGCATTTACATGTCCATTTGGAGTTTTTGCATATAGAAGAATGTCATTTGGATTGTGCAACGCTCCCGCTACTTTTCAAAGGTGTATGCTGTCCATTTTTTCTGATTTAGTAGAGAAAATTATTAAATTATATATGGATGATTTCTCTATTTTTTGCAATTCTTTTGATAATTGTTTAACTAATTTGTCCACTGTTTTGCAGAGATGTCAAGATACTAACCTTGTTTTGAATTGGGAAAAGTGTCATTTCATGGTCCAAGAGGGAATTGTCCTTGGCCATAGAATTTCAGAAAAAAGAATGGAGGTCGGATCACTACTCTTGATCCAAAAGTGATGATTTCATCCATTTTTGGTAAGCAAGCTATTCAATTAAGTATGGGGTTCCCCCTCCAGGAATGGAGGACTATGCAATCCAGGTGAGTTTAGTGAAACATTTCGTCGATCTTTCCATCCTGCCTTTCATTCATGCTTTCAGGTAGTTCACTGGCTTCCTCGGTTGGTCTTATCCAAACTGCAAGCCATGCCCATTAGCCACTGAATGAATAGGCTACGGCTGCAGCTGCCAGGATGACTTATTTGCTTTCACTGCTTGCCATCGCTGACCTAACAACTGGTAAGCGATGTGCCCTATTGACTGACCAGCCGAAGAACATCCTTAGGAGAAAGTCCTATCTATCAAGGTTTTTGGCTCAGGTTCTCAAACATCCTTTGATCGCTAGCACTAAAGTGCTTCGCTTGGAAGATGAAACCGAAGGATGAGTCCGATATTTGTACTAATGTGGCAAGACAAAAGTACTCTGCATAGTAACTAAGCTTTCGGACAACAGCAACTAACTTCCCTGCATAGCTACACCAGCCTCGCCTCTTGCTTTTTGTTTATAGAAGTTCAAGGCGTCAAGTCCTTTCGTTTAGTACGAGATCACACTTCGCGGTGCTTTGCTTACATTAGACCTCTGGTCTATCAAAGTTTTGTTCATCGTCCAACCTCTTCAAATTCAAAAGAGAATCTCGAAGAACTAGACGATCCTTACCAGTCTTACTAGGCAGGACAGAAACCAATCCTATAACTACAAGATGATACCTTAGAAGTTGCAAGCTACTTCTCCTAACGACAAGTAAAGGCATACCCTCTATTAGAAAACTAGAATGGAAGGCACAATGGGAAAGGGGAAAGCTCAACCGCGTGGCACAAAACAGTGGGTTTTTGTTCCTGGTCTTGTCTTCCTTCCGGCTAAAGCTTCAAGTCTCAATCCGAAGTCAAAGAAAATATAATAGATAAATAGATGCCAACTCTTCTCCCAGTGTAGCTGCAAATCACCTATTGAGAAAGAAAGGAGAATCATCGCTCTTTCCTTAGCATGGTGCCAGCCGACTCTGACCTGGGTAAAAGAGGCAAGGAGCCAGGGAATGGGCAAGGGCTTCACCCACTTTCACGAGTTTCATAGGATCAAGAGATCCCACTATAGAAGTAAGGAAGGGATTCTTTATCAAAGTTTTCGCCTAAGACTACCGTCCTTCAGCAATTGATGGATGAGGATAGGGGATCACAAGAAGATTTGGGAGCCAAGTGCTATGCTAGCGAGTTCCAAGCGAGGGAAGTACGGTCTGATGCAACGAGTGAAACCACAAAACCAGATGCCATGAGTGGAGTTCATTACTACTAGAAGTCTCAGTTCCTCGCCGGTGAAATGGAAGCCCAGAAATGAGCGTGGAAGAAGACCTTATCTTTAGAGATTAAATCCCGCCATACATTCATGGAGGTAGAGGGATTTTTCCCAACCTTGAGGTTGAGCAGTTTCCCCGATGAAGAAGAAAAGAAGTCGACTTGTCAAAGACATATGAGGCATACTTATCTGAGTCTGAACTCGAAGACTCCAATATTCGGAAAAACATATGCTTAACACATGCGTCAAAAACGGAGTTTTTCGGGTAGCAGCTCCTGCTTTTTGCGCTAAGCATAAAGTTCTCCGGCCGTACGACTCTCCTCCCCCTACATCCTGGGATTCCACCGGGGACTTAGAAATAGCATATTCAAAGATAAGCAAGCTTTCCTCCTGGAGATGGAGCTGCTAGCTAGGAATTGATTGTTTCATTCCAGACCTTGTAATAGAACAGGCAAAGCCTTAAATCGAATCTTCTACTTTATCACGATATCGCTGAGCTTATCCCATGGAATCAGGGGAACTCCCTATTCACCAGAGGGAACTCATTCGTGCGTAGTTACACCTCATTCCGGAATGAGTGTTACACTAGAGAGAAAAAAACAACCCTAACGAATAACAACTAATAGTTGGGGCTGCGGACTAACTTATCCTTTAGACAAAACCCGGGGAATAAATGCCATGCCAATCCAATAGGCTTCTCTTCCCGTCCTGCTTCAAGAGAGAAGGCTGCAACGACCGGAAAAAGATCAGGAGGAGCTGCTTCCAATTTATCTTGTGTTACGCCCTTTCCTCTTCCGAGGAGGGGTAGGCCCGGGAAGCTATGGAAGTTCATTCTAGTGTGTATACTAGGCGCCTTTCTGAATGAGAAAGCGGAGAAAAGAAGTAGGATATTCCAGCCTCAGATCTAGGCATCTCTGTCGAAATTACGTAAGATGAGATTGAGAAGCTGGAGCTAGCATCCGATTTCATATGATATTCAAATGCCCTGGGATTGTATAAAATCAGATTTCGTTTAAAAGTTTTCGAACTGCATATGGCTGATTTGGCCTTCTAAAAGGCCTATAACAACAAAAAGAAACTCTTCCTCTTATCGCTCCTCTGATCGGACTATTTTATTTCCTTATCTTCCCCTCCATTAAGGTAAAGTTACAGAGGCAATCCCAATAGAATATCATCTATCATCTCCGAAGGAGGAAATCAATGCCTTTGCAGGTAATCTTCTCCTTTAGTAGGTTTGAGATCTATTTGATCATCCCCTATCTTCTTTGTGGGAACTTCTTACTGAGTTTGAGTAAAGATAAGCCGTTGTCCTTTTACTACTTCAGCAGGTTCTAACTGCGAGATCATTAGTGAAAACTGCCTGGCATGTCCTGGCTGTCCGTAGGAGACAGTCCTGGATTTTGCCTGGGCTTCATTCAGGAAGACCTGGGATGGCTTTCCACATGAGGACTAGATTCAGCCGGGACTATAGCCGACAACAGAAAGATAGCTATTGAGTCCCTTCTCTGATAAGGGAGGAACGAAGACAGAGTTAAGGAGTAAGGAGTTATAATCATTCCCACTTAGAGTTACATACAAGGCCCTATTCCGATCTATTCACTATAAGGCCAGGCCTACTGGTAAACTGGCTAACTCTTCTTCAATCCCTTCTTCCGCCGCTTAAGATTCAGTTGCAAGTCCCAAGGGATGAAATTCTAAGACCCAGGCCGGGAAGTCAGGAACTATGGAATCAAGCCCTTTCTTAACTTAACTTAAGGCATTGACTCAGCCTTAGCCGTCAGCCTTTAGATCAGTATCTTCCCCACGGAGCTAAATAGGGGATTTTGGCTTCCATTGTCGTAATGCTCTAGCTTCCTCTTTCCGATAGACTAGCTAAGTTCCCCGTGATTCTAAGGTAATTTCATCTAAAGCTTTTGGCCAAGGGGAAATTCTCTGAACTTTCTTATAGCGTAGTTCAGTCCCCGGGTACTAGTTAACCCTATTAGACTTTCGCGCTGTCTGTCTTATCAACGAAGTGAGATTAGTAGCTTTCTTGCTTTTCTGATGCCTAGCTTTAAAGATGCAGGGCTTTCCCCGAAAAGGAAATCGGGATCTCCGAATCCTAAGATTCTGTCTTTGTCTCCTTTAAGTTTAAGGGTCTTGGCAGCGATTCCACAGATCAAGGATTAGATTAACATTCACCTAAAGCCGTAACTCCAGTCTTAGCCTTTATTTTATATTATAATAGTAGCTTTCTTCCTTGCTGTGCCTAGCTTTAAAGATGCAGGGCTTGTATCCAAATAGAAGGACTAGCGCTCAACTCCGACTTAGTCTAAGACTATGCCCGAGGAAGAGATGGTAAATAGGCGGAAATAGCTTATATAGGACTAAAGTGCCCAATGGGACTACTAGTACTAGTGTAAAGTTTCTTCCTAGGCTTCTTAGGGAGTGATTAGCCAGAAGGGCTTGCAAGAAGAAGGAGACTAATCGGAAACTTCAGACTGACTTATGTCTCAATCAGGAGGGTCAAGCAAGCGTCTAAACCCTATCAAATGATCTTTCGGGCTAAGGGGAATCGAAGCCAAATATTCCATCCAGAGCCCCTCTCACTAACTTCATCAAAGAGGGCTACTTACTCCCATCCCACTGAGCTATCTAGGGAGTTTGCGGAGTTTGCAAAGAAGTGAATAGGAAGGGGGAAGCCCGGTGAAGACAGTTGAAAGAAGAGTTGATGCTTTCGAACAGCCGGCACTCCCTCCAATGCTTTGGACTTCATCTTAGGCGGACTTTTGTGCTAAGTTAGAACTACTAATATAGATAAAGTCTAACTTCTTTATTTCTGTATTATTTCACCAGACAGGATTGTATTTGAATAGAAAGCATTCTATCATTGATCATTCTATCACCAATGTGTGCTGGGCTGCTAAAAGGAGTGGCAGTGCTAATATAGCTCAGAGACCAGAATCAAGAAGAAGCACAGGGCCGAGTAGAGGGCCAAAGCCGAGCATTCCTGGTAGAGTTTTTGCTATGAGTGGAGCAGAGGCTTTGCAGTCAGATGAGCTAATCCGAAGTAAATGCATTATTAAGGGCCGATTGCTTGATGTGTTGTTTGACTTGGATGCTACACACTCTTTTATTTCTGTGGACTGTATGAAGAGTCTGGATCTATATGTGACTGAATTGTCGTGTAACGTTGTGGTGACTACCCCTACAGGTAAACCGGTTGTGACATCATGGGTGTGTTTAGGATGCTCTATAATGGTGCATGCTAGGGAATTTGAGGTGGACTTTATCTGTTTGTCTCTGTCCCAGCTGGATGTGATTTTGGGGATGGACTGGTTAGCTGCCAACCATGTACTGTTGGATTATAGAGAGAAGACCTTGATCTTCGGTGCAACAATGGTGGAGGTTCCAAGGCTTATGAGCTAGGGAGCGTGGGAGAACACAATGAATAGCAAGGCCCTTATGATTATGTTCTCAATGGAGGCTAAAAGCGTGGTGGAGCCAGAGTACATCTCGGTGGTGAGGGATTTCTTAGAAGTTTTTTCGGAAGATGTTTCGGAGTTACCGCCTAAGAGGGAAATAGAGTTTGCTATTGACCTTATTCTGGGGGCAAGCCCGATTTCTGGCACCATATAGAATGTCACTGATAGAGTTGGCAGAGGTCAAGAAGCAAGTGGAGGACCTATTGCAAAAACAGTTTGTAAGACCGAGTGTGTCATCGTGGGGAGCATTAGTGCTCTTGGTAAAGAAGAAAGATGGGAGCATGAGAATGTGTGTGGATTACCAGCAGCTGAACAAGGTAACGATAAAGAACAAATATCCACTTTTGAGGATCGATGATTTGATGGACCAATTGAAGGGAGCTGCAGTGTTCTCGAAGATTGACTTCAGATCGGGGTACCATCAAATCAGGGTAAAGAATGAGGATGTACCTAAGACGACATTCAGGATGCGGTATGGTTACTATGAGTACTTGGTAATGCCATTTGGAGTAAGCAATGCACCTGCGGTGTTCATGGATTACATGAACAAGATCTTCCATGAGTTTTTGGATAAGTTTGTGGTGGTGTTCAGTGACGACATCCTAATTTATTCGAAGACTCAGGAAGAGCACGCCAGGCACTTGAGGATTGTTTTGCAAATTCTGAGGGAGAGGCAATTGTATGTAAAATTCTCTAAGTGTGAGTTCTGGCTGTCAGAGATTCAGTTTCTGGGGCATGTGGTGTTGAAGGAAGGAATCATGGTAGACCCTGCAAAGGTGGAAGCAGTAGCTTGGTGGTTGAGGCCGACAAATGTGACTGAGGTGCACAGTTTTCTGGGATTAGCAGGCTATTATAGAAAGTTTATTGAGGAATTTTTTAAGATAGCTTTGCCCTTAACGAAGCTGACCCGTAAGGGAAGGGAGTTTAAATAGACCAAGGGGTGTGAGGCTAGTTTCCTAGAGTTGAAGATAAAGTTGACTTCAGCGTCTATGTTAGTTTTGTTTGATCTAAAGCAGAAGTTTAATGTATATTTGATGCGTCTGGGCATGGACTCAAGTGTGTTCTGATGTAAGATAGGCGATTGGTTGCTTATGTCTCAAGACAGTTACACTCGCATGAAGTCAATTATTCGACGCATGATTTGTAGTTAGCCGCTGTGGTTTTTGCTCTTATGGTATGGAGGCACTACCTGTATGGTGTGAGGTTTGAGGTGTTCAGTGACCACAAGAGTTTGAAGTATCTGTTTGACCAGAGGGAGTTGAACATGCGGCAAAGGAGATAGATGGAATTCCTCAAGGATTACGATTTCACATTGTCTTACCATCTTGGTAAGGTGAATGTAATGGTCGATGCATTGAGCAGGAAGTCATTGCATGTGGCAGCACTGATGGTGAAATAGATGAAGTTGATTGAGGAATTTCGGGACATGAACTTGTCCATGGAGGTAAAGTCAAGAAGCTTATATCTTAGAGCGACAACAATCCATAATGACTTCTTGGTGGTATGTCCAAGATGCTCAGCAGAGAGATGCTTTCTTGCAAGACATGATTAGGCAAAAGGGTGAGGGAAAGGACTTGGAGTTCCACTATGGTGAGAACAGGGTGATTAAGTTCAGAACCGAGTGTGCATTCCCCAAGTGGATGAGTTAAAGCAAATGATACTTGAGGAAGTGTATAAAAGCAAGATGAGTTTTCACCCCTGTGCAACTAAAATGTATCAGAACCTCCGGAAGAGTTTTTGGTGGAATGGAATGAAAAGTGATGTGGCTAGATACCTAACCTGCCAGAAGGTGAAGGTAGAACACTACCGTCCACCTGGGTTACCTGGGTTATTGCAACTGTTGGAGATCTTTGAGTGAAAATGGGACAGTATTTTCATGGACTTTGTTTCTGGGTTGCCGAGGACTAGGAACAACCATGATATCATCTGGGTGATAGAAGATCGATTGACGAAGGCTGCACACTTTCTCCTGATTAACATGAAGTATAAGTTAGAGAGCCTTACAGAGTTGTATATGAGAGAGATAGTCAGGTTGCATGGAGTGCCGACCAGTGTGGTATCCGATAGAGACCCGAAGTTTACCTCGAGGTTTTGGGAGAGCCTGCTGAGGGCGTTGGGGACTAAGTTGAGACTTAGTTCGGCTTGTCACCCACAGACCGACGGTCAGACTGAGCAAACTATCCTGTCCCTGGAGGAACTTTTAATGGCCTACGTGATTGAGCAGCAAGGGACTTGAGAAGAATGTCTGCCGTTAGTGGAGTTCACTTACAACAACAATTATCATGCCAGCATTAGGATGGCACCGTTCAAGGCTTTGTACGAGTGGAGGTGCAGAACTCCATTGTGTTGGTATGAAACTAAAGAGACGACTCTGTGTGCACCGGATATGATCCAAAGATAGAATGAACAAATCAAGATGATCAAAGAGAAGATGAAGGCTGCCCAAGATCAACAGAAAAGATACTATGATAAGAGGAGGAAGTTGTTGGAGTTTCTGGTGGGTGACCATGTGTTTTTTAAGGTCTCACCTGTGACCGGAGTTAGGAGAGCTTTGAAATCTTGGAAGTTATCTCCTAAATTCATTGGGCCATTTGAAGTGCTGAGTACAATTGGTTCTGCTGCATATCGAATAGCATTGCCTCCGAATCTCTCAAATCTACATCTGGTGTTCCATGTGTCCCAACTTAGGTAATATGTGCCGGATCCTTCCCATGTGATTGATCTTGACCCGGTTCAAGTGAGAGAAGACTTATCTTATGATTTGTATCCGATAAGGATAATAGACCACTGTGTTAAACAGCTGAGGAGCAAGGAGATCTCATTAGTGAAAGTGATATGAAGCTTAAGTGATGAAGGAGATGCCACATAGGAAATGGAGAGTAGAATGAGAGGGTTGTATTCAGGGTTGTTTGTGTAATCTGTGTTTGGTTGAATCTCGGGGATGAAATTCCCTAAAGGAGGGGAGAGTTATTACACCCTGAATTTTTGTAAGATTGATTATTGTTATATATATATATATATATATATATATATATATGTGTGTGTGTGTGTGTGTGTGTTAGAATTGCACTTGAGTGCGTGATGAATATTGAATGATGATGTGTATGAATGCGTATGGATAAATATGCGATTATAAGAGTATATATATAGATATATGTATGTGTATGTGTGTGTGTGCGCGCGCTAAGAATATTGGACAGTGGCTGGTTTGTTGATGAAAATTTGACTAAGTGTTTGGTGCAGGGTATTCCCGCTGTAGCGAGAGAGCAACAATTTGGGGTGCAATTATGGGAGCAGTTTCACTGTAGCGAGATTCTGCATAAACCAAAGTGCAATTTTCTCTGAAATTTTCGCTGTAGCAACAAGGGGCGTCGCTGCAGTGAGAGTGTCGCAACCAAAGGGGTATTTGAAAGGGTTAGGGTTTGGGAAATTTATTTCTCATTCCTCTCTTCAAAATCTCTTCGATTCTCTCAACTCAAAACCTTATTTCACCGATTAAATTGCCTCCAAAGCCATTCGTGAGCTAGATTGAAGGTTGGATTTGTGTTGGGAATACTTGAAGTTGAGTTTGAATGGTTAAGGTTTTGGTTTTTGTCCCTCTTCTCTATTTTCTAGGTTCTCTTTTAGTTCTCAAGAAGTTTTCCATGTGTTTTAGGGACAAAATTCATGGGGGGAATGTTTTTTACCGTTAGAGTATGTTCGTTCTTCAATCCGAGGTAAGGAGGGACTCTACCCTATCTCATTGTGTTTTGATTTCCGTTTATTTTGCTAAATATTGCAATGCGACTAAGATAGAGGGTGGGAAATGTGTGTTGATGAAAATTATAGTGTGTTTGAATGCAATGTGATGTGCGATGAGATGGTTGAACCCATTGAGGGTGATTGTGTGTTGTGACATGCCATTAATTCAATGTTTAAGTTGATGTGGGTCTGCGTGTCATGTGCAAATATGAGTATTGTATGCAATTGAAATGTGTGTGAATGAGGCATGTTATATGCGGTTGTGAATATGCTATGAATGGTTTAGCGATACACTAGAGGTGTGGAAGATGGGGACGGTAGAAATACCTTGGGGAAGAAAGAGTGGTGGTGACACCAACAGTGAGCGTGGGTGCACCACAGGCCACACATTCTCCTCCTGACTAAACCTCTGACCAACACCTTTGCCGAGCGACTCATGACCGCACACTTGGTATCTATGATGTGAGGGTAGTCGGCGACCATCCATGGTGTGAATTTGTGATCATAGTGCCACGATGAGCATGGCTACGTGAAGTGAGCACACGTGTGTGTAAAATGCTTTGGTGTCGTGAGTGCATCGACTGTAAATTTAAATGAATTGCTTGAAAGTGTTGCCTATGGTTGATAATACTTGAGTATAATATGTTAGAATACATTTGAGTGTGTAAGGTGAGTCTCTATGTTGTTTGTGTGATGGATAGTATAGAGTACTCACCCTTACATTTGTTTTTCAGGTGACCAAGACGATTAGCACTGTGCTCAGTGAAGGGATCTATGAAGCTGCTATAGGGTTTAGATTTTATTTTGACAATTCGATGCAATTGAATTGGGCCAGTAGCAGTTATTAATATAAAACTTGTAATCCTTTATTATTTTGAAAACCTTTGATGAAACTTTGTATTGGGAAATTATATTTAAATGAAATTTTAATTATTTCTACTTTGCGAAAATTATTATTTTTGAAATTAAATTAAGGTATTACATAATATCCAGTAGTAGATTTTTTGTCCATAGATCCTACCAAATCAGCATCAGAAAACACCTCTATCTGTTCATGTCCATGATTGTTTGGAGGGCAAGTGTACCCATCAAGAAGTAATAAAGGGTTCTTAAATTAAGTTCCCGAAATATCGTCTCACAAGGATTTATTTCCAATTACTAAGAATTTCCCAATTCAATTGTTTAAGCTTTAAAGATACGAGA